CTGCATTTCCAATTCTTTTTCTTTTCCAAAGGTTTTCAAACTTAATTTCTTTCTTTCTTACTATTCACCCAAGATCTCTATTTCTTATTGATACAATCCAGTCGAAATTCGAAATATTGCTATGAATCAAGTTTTGGGAAGTTTTGAATCTTGTTTTTTTTTTTTCTAAATTTTTTATTGTAGACTTGTATATGGTACATCAATACCCAAAACAATACTCGATACAATACTAATTCAATTTTAATATGATTATATTAAATTTTTAGTGTCGAGTTGTAACTGAAACTTGAAGAAGATGAAGATCATTATTGTATCACAAATTTTAAAAATTAATGTATCGTGATTGTATTATAATTGTATATGTCTCATAATTGTTGGAGGAATTGTATTACAGATGTATGATAACTGTATATTCATTGTATATTGTTACGAGCAGTTGTGAGTTCATGACGAATTTCACAGTTTGTATCACAAGTATGATAATTATATATTAATTTATTAGTATTATATCAGGTATTATTTTAGGTATTAATGTACCGAATACAAGTTAGATACAATTGTAATACAGGTATGATACAATTATGTATTAGGCATTGATGTATCTAATACAATTCAAATACAAAGATGATACTTTTGTCATACAATTTCTGAATATTTTTTAATAATATAAACCTGTCGGCAATGGTGGGAAGAGAGAAGATGAAGATTCTTGGTGTAGATTAAGGAATTTTGATGTAAGAAAAAGGAGAGAGAAGAGAAGAGAGGAAAAAAGGAAAGAATGTAATTGAATCCCTTAATTGAAGATATTAATAATGTGGTGAGAGCCTTTTAAGGAGTAATATATACAATTTGTAAGAAAAACCTAGATATTTATTAAAAACTACAAAACATAGAGAATATAGGTAAATAAGTTTCTAATATAGTATAACTAGGTAAAAATCCCTAAGAAATTTGGATTTATGGCCTATTTTAAAGGGAAATTTTCGTTCCTATACCATATAGGAAACTATATTACCAAATATGTTCATAGTTTGCATATTACCCGCCATGCTAATAGTATTTCTACAAAATATAGACAAGTCATTAAATAAGGAATTATTGTAGTTGTATGCTTCCTTATTTAGGCTAGGGCTGGGCATATATCGGGTAAAACCGATAACCCGAACCGTTAATTGTTTATTGGGTTATCGGTATCGGATTATTGGGTTAACGGTTCGGTAACGGGTTTAGAATTTTTTTTACTATTGGGTTATCGGTTCGGGCCTCGGTTTGCCAATTTTGTTAATGGGTTAACCGATAACCCAATAAGAATTAATAAAATTATGACTTTACCCTTAAGTATATATACAAATGCTAGGGCTTCAGTTCATTCTCTCCTATTCTTTCTCAACCCCACTCTTTAGTTGCTTCATCTTCATTCTTCATAGACCTTACTAGTTACTCCTAGCGTAAGCCTTTAGTATACTATATGTGAATTCTTCTCTTTTTTGCTTAACTCCAGTGAATTGTCTTTCTTTTTTGCTTAACTCTAGATTGAGTTATCTTATCGGGTAAACCGATACCCGAACCGATAATGATCGATAACCGATTAACCGATACCCGATAACCGATATCTTATTGGTTCGGTTATCGGTTTATAAAATTTATAAACCGATAACCGATATGCTAAACCGATAATATTCATAACCAAACCGAACCGACCGATGCCCACCCCTAATTTAGGCGCGCTAATATTGGAGAATTAAATATTCTCCCAGATTTTTTACCATGCAAATCACGCATTAAATAGGCTACAATTTAGGGATTTCCTATCCATTTACCTAAATGAAAATATTATCTTTCATTCTCTTTCTTCTTTTTTTGGTTACCCAAATTAAAAAGATTTATTCTCTCTTTCTTCTTCAACATTTTATACCAACTGTCCCGGTCTCATTTACTGAAATAATGTGGTGCTGGAAAATTCCTCCACTGCACAAATGTAGACGTAATTTGACGCACACAAGGGAATACCTCTTGATTTCATATCAATCATTTTATAATCCACATAGTTGCATGTTTGTGTTGTTACATTTTATAGTATCACTAATGAGAACACAGTTACATGTTTGTGTTGCTACATTTTATATTAAATTCTGGTTGTATATAAATGTTCTACACTTTATTTACATTTTATCTACAAATAAACTACATGTCAGAGTAAATATATATATATCAGTGTGGATTTTCACAATATCTACAAAATTTCTACATTTATTCTACAATAAAACTACATATCATTTGAAAAATTAATATGAAAATACAGAATTTCAATGTTTCTGCAAATTATCTACAAAATTTCTACAAACTATTCATAACAGAATTTATCTTTATTTTCATGCATGTTTGTCTGGAACACTAAAGTTATTTGATATGCCAACATCTCCCGTTATAGAGGAATACAACTTATCTATAATTTTCTACAACTTTCACACATTATTTTCACCCAGTTAAGTACAACTACAATAACATAAAACTTACATACAAATTTTATATAAAATTTCTACTAAGTTATATACAACTACAATATAATACCACTTAAATACAATTTTTATACAAATGTTGTTCAACTTTCATACAATAGTTAAATGAATAAAAGGAAAACAAATAAAGAACAGAATACATTTTTTCTACAATTGTTCTACAATTTTTCTATAATTTTTGCAATATAATGTATGTCATGTCTTCTTTTTCTTCTTTTTCGAGTTTCAATCTGAAATTCAGCCAAAACCAAATATAATCTTCACCAAAACCCCTCAAAATTGAGATATAAACTCCAAACCATATTCCCAATTATTTGCAACAACACCCAATCCAAACAAATAATGTTTTTTGAAAACCCAAATTCGAATTCAAAGCTTCAAAGCTTTTTTATGGCTATCAATGGTGGAATTGCTGCTCTCTTTTCCTTTCCTCTTATATTACTGAAACTTGGGATTGAGAGATAGAGAGAGACGTAGAGAGAATTCTTAATTCTTTGCAACAACATCCAATCCAAACAAACAATGTCTTTTGAAAACCCAAATTCGAATTCAAAGCTTCAAAACTTTTTAATGGTTGTCAATGGTGGAGGGGTTACAGATTTTCGCTGGTTTTAGAAGAGGAAATCGTGGGTGATTGAAGAGGAAATCGTGGGGATTTGGAGAGGGATACTTGGGGGAGTGGGAATATACGATTGAGCAAAATTAGGAGACTAATTAATACCATTAAAATCTAAAAGGGTACATAAATGGTAATTAGGTATATAGAAGGTAATTATATTAAAAGTTAAGCATGGAGGGTAATATAGTTTACTATATGGCATAGGAATGTAAAAATTCCTATTTTAAATGCTTTAGATAATTTTTTGTTTTGGGCTCATAGCCTAAATTAAAGTAAATTAAAAGGGGTATTATCACTTTTAGCTTGCGCCAGAAATTATTTACGTTCGGTAGCCGAAAAATATATAAAATTTATATAATTTTGGTATATAACATACCGAATGTATATAGACAAAAAATATATATTTTTTCGGCTATTATTTTGAGAGCGGCTATTCACTGTCATTTTTCCAAATTAATAATCACTTAAGATTCCTTTTTTAATTAATTCCAAATTTCAAAAATTAGTCATATGGACTTAATTTCAGAATATAAATTTAGCATTTATATTTCTTAATGAAAACTAGAATTATTTTTTTAACCAAATTGCTTGAAATATTAATTTGTTTAACATTAATTTTTTTTTGTTAATTTGTTCAAACATGCTCAAATTTTAATTGTTTTAATATTAATTTTTTAATTAGTTTAACGCATGCTTTATGTAAATTTATTGAGCATGAAATTAATGTTACTTAGCTTAATATTAATATTACTTGTTAATTTGCTTAACATGTATAATATATTAATTAGTTTAACATTAATATAAAAAAAGAAGGAGGTTTATGTGAATTTTTGTAGCATATAATAAGTGTTACTCCCTCTGTTTCAGTTTATGTAAATCTATTTCCTTTTTGGTCCGTTCCAAAAAGAATGACCCCTTTCTAAATTTGGTAACAATTTAGGTTAAACTTACAATTCTACCCTTAATGAGAAACTTTTATAACTACACAAATACTCTAGACTACTTTTTGACTTGTTTAGGACCACAAATTCCAAAGGTCTTCATTTTTTCTTAAACTTTGTGCCCAGTCAAACAGGTTCATATAAATTGGAACGGAGGGAGTAATTAGTTTGACACTAAATTTTATTTGCATGCTAACATAAGTTATTTGTTGACTTATGATCCATATGAGATTTTAAAATCATCATAGATAATTATGTTGTCTTAAACATGATTCGGACGCTTAGCTAGATAATTGAATAGATTAATTTTAATAATATTTTAGTTTTTGAATGATGATTGCTAACATAGTGAATTCTCGACTCCATGATTAACATATGTGTTTATTGACTTAATCAACTGATGCTTAGTGTTATAATATGTATGTATATATGTTGAATATAGTGCCTTGCCTTATTTTTTTTATATGATTCTCGTGATTTTTTATTTTGTTAAAGAATGATTATTGCTTCAAAAAATATTATTGCTGAGCTTAAGAAAGGGTTGAAACTTAATGGTGACAACTATGAAACCTGGAGCTTGAAAGTCCAGTATGTGCTAGAGGAGCAAGAGGCTCTGGAGGCTATTAACAATTAGGGGTGTCGACGGTTCAGTTCGGCCGGTTACTTTATAAAATTTGTATTATTCTCTTATGTATAACCAAAATTAAACTTTCCGAAACCGTCTCAATCATGTCGGTTTCTTTTCGGTATCGATACGGTTTGGTTAATTTGATGCTCAAGTAAGTAGGGATCTTGAAAGATAACCGACTCAATAAAAACAAAAGAAATAAGAATAACAAAGATATATGAATGATCTCATAGTGTTATCGTATTATTATACCTGGATGTTCTGTAGGATGTAGGGGTAGAGGCTAACTTCCTATAGATATCTCATAAATCTAAGCTATCTCGAGCTTGTCCTCATAGTGAGGGTGGTTACCCATTACCTGTCATCGTTTCTCGCTCTACGCCATGCTCTAGGCAAATGTCATGGCATAATGTCAACATTGACAAAAAGATATAGCCCTTTATACTTTTTCATGTAATCCTAATCGCATAATTGAAATCCAACATTAAAGAACATGAATTGTAAGTAGCTGAAGAGCGTACTCTTTTTTTTTTTCAATCAACAATTTAAAAGTAGATTCTCATCTTTAAGAAATTTCGACATTCAGAATTAACTATATAACAAAATTTTGTTATTATTATGTTAACCTCTGACGAACCAAATATGATTGCAGATCTATTATCAGATCTCAGATATGGCTGTCAAGGTTCAATCTGGGAGAATGTTGCTTCTGCCCCAATATATCTAGTTTTTCTCCTCTTATTTTGTTTCTTCACATTACCTGCATAAAATAGAAAATTAATTTGTCAGCCTCGTGAAAATCTGTTTTGTGATATGTTGTTTGACATATAATAAGTTATTTCTGATTTCTCAGCTAGATTGAGATGCTCTCTTTTTCCTTTCATTTTTGTTTTTTTTTATGTCCTACTGATTTTCTACGTGACAAAACTTGTACAAGGGAATCGTGGTAAACTCATCGATATGAACAAAGTATCTGACTGATCTTGCTTAGTAAATTTATGAGAATTTGCCTGTTTAATGTACATATGTATTTTATCAACTATCAATGGGTTAGATCTATCTCAATCTGCAAAAATATCTTGCCAAAGATCATGTAACAGAATATTTCCCAAGTAAGGATTTGATATTCCATTGCTCAGTTCCAATTTAGGATGCACTAAACCCATTTACATGTGGTTATCAATTTCGTTAAATCGAATTAGCGTATACTGGATGAGTGATTATCTGAGCTAATATTAACAAATTAATTGCAGTGCACGAAATTAGATGCCAACTTTCCACCAAAAGAGTCTGTGCTTAATTCATTCCAACAACGATCCATCACAGAACATGGAAGGCTGAAGAGGAAAGTGGATACTGGTCCTTCAGGTCAGGACCTTACCATCTTTGAATCAAGAAACAAGCAGAAAATGAATAAGAAATCCAAAAAGACTTGAGTCATTGGTGAATGAGTAAGTTTAGAGGACCTTAAAGAGCAGTTTGGCAAGAAGCGTGAAGAGGCTGCAGCAAGCCTTCATGGTACGCTTCCTGTTAAGAACTCTGTGATTGTGAAGATATTCAAAGGTGGCAGTAAAATGAGGTCATCCTATTTTGACATCTTGTTTTTACAGTTAGTATTTGAATCTCCCGGTGGCCCTCTACCAAAATAAAGAGAGATAGGCTTTTACTCTCCAGTGTAAGCTGCAATGAAACTGACCGAGTAGCTGCTAACGTACAAATGCCAATCACCAGAGGTCCAACTGCATTTCAGTCAAATCCAATCTGCAGAAATCATGGAGTTCTAATCTATCAGTAAATAATGAAAATGGTACATCATTCAATGAAAATTTCCTAGGAAAGAATGAAGACAGTGACAGGGAAAACATTATGATTCAAGTGGGAGACTCGGCCAATCAAGAACTCTTGTATGAGCCACAGGAATTTTAGCCTGCCTGTGATAGTCTCGTCCCTTCATATTCATTCCCTAATGCTCCCGCTATACAGTAGGTTACCACAAGAAAGAATGCCAGCTAAAGATGCTACACAATTCATTTCTCCTTCACTTGGCCAACAGAGGAAAGTGATTGCAAGACAAATAAAGATGCTTCAAGCTATGTTGCTCAGACTCTCCAAAAATGCTGCCGCACCAGTGTCGAATCTGCCAAAAATGCACTACTTTTGGAGGAGCCGACACACACCCGATTACATTTTTGGAGAGTCCAAGCAACATAGGACTGATGAGACTAGTCAATTGGAGAATCAATACTTGGGAAGGGAAAGGCTCAATCGTAACACTGAAAAGGAGGTTATTCTCTCTGTTGAAGACTCATCATCATACGATTTTGGAAGCATTTCAGAGCCAATTCTGGTAAACTTACAGAGTAATAGTTTTAAGTGTCGACGATACTGTTTCTTTTTTTTTTTTTGACTTAGTTTCCTTTTTATCTTAGTCTACTATTGCTTGGCATTACCGTAAACAATGGAATGGGTAACAAGCTTGCCCATGCCTCTGTCAAGTATAGATGAATCCAAGAAGTATCTTTTTATCTTCACCTCATGATCCTCGTCAAATAATTAAAACCAATCAAGTGACCTTTGCCTAGGAATTACTCGTCGAAAGAAAATTTTCTCAATTAACGACTAGTGCCTACACGATCCTCCTTTCAGACTGTCTCAATACACAGCTCATTCATGACTGCTAGCAAGTTGTTTTGAGGTTTAGGCTTTGGCTTTGATAAATTAGACTGTGAAATGGTGATCTGTTGTCTAACTACAGAAATGGATATTATTTATTGTAGTTGATCTCTTTCTGTCATCAGGGTCACCTTACTGATTATGCTTCGCTCCATCAACTCAATGAGGATCAATTGATCTCCGTGGATGACATGGAGTCTACTCGTATCGAGGCACAATCTACGCTTGAATCAAAATCTGAACCTTCCATACAAAGCGATGCAAGGAGTATGAAGTTGATCTTTGAGAAGTTGATTATGTTGCCACTAGAGGCTCTCTCTAACCTGAATCATGAAGCTTCCATGAAAGAAGCTTTGACCATACTTACTGGCAACCTCTCACTGTTTGCAGATGAACAAGCCAAACAGCTATTGGAACTTAAGCTTGACTTTCCATCCGCCACATATAGCTGGAGAGATTGCTCTCGGACCAGGATCGATTTTGTCAAGATTTCTTGGCTGAATTTGAGAAAACTAAGTCATTGTTGGAAACTTCAACTAAAGAGGGCGAGGATCTTAAGGATAAAGATAGTCAACTAGAGAGCAAGGAGAAGGAAATGATGGCACAATTGGAGGCAATTCAAAAGGAGAAAAATGAGATAACTGAAAAGAGGAGTGAATTTTAACCAGACCAAGCAATTGGTTGCTTTGGCAGAAGATCAAGCAGGTAGAACTAAAGAGAAAGAGCTGCAGATTACTATTGCTACTGCTAAATTAAACAAATTAAAGAACCAATGGGTTTCAGTTCAATCTTCCTTTATTTAACTTCTCTTCTTCTTTTTGACTTCAAGGCATTTCTTAATGATTCAAGCAAATATGCAGGGAAGTCTTTCTTATCCAGATTTGCTAGTAATTAAATTCATTCAGGTTCCACATTCTTTATCTAGATTTGCAAGTAATTTAGTCCTCTTCAGATGAGGTATATCTTACATTTTTACCTTGCCATTATCTTAAAACCAGACATTTTACTTGTAATTTTACATGGAAAAGTAGTAATCAAAGGTTCAAAATATCATATTTTATTTCTCACATAAGGTATACTTCTAGATATAAATTTGTTGAATTAATATATGCAGTTCAATTCATTTTTTATATAGATGTGTATTATATACATAAATATACATATTTTATATACTTTTTGGCTAGCGATTGTAATTACTTTCGACCGACCGGTCACGTTTGTATTTTGCCGTATTTTATATTTGCACTCTCCTTGTTCTAATTAAGGTAGTATTGTTTCAAAGAAAAAAAAAGGTTAAGGTAGTACAGATATTCAAATTGATAGGAGTAATAGGAAGTATGAGAATTGAGTGGTACTTTAATGATAAAAATTCTTATGTTAGCATTTCTACATGTGCGAGGTTTGATTCTAGCATTTCATACTTCTGTTTCTCTTTGTAAAGCCAGTAATATTTCACAGCAAACTTGGGCTACGGACGAGCTTAGGAGGGGTGAAACTAAAAAATAGTCAGATTTACGAGTGACAAGTGAAACATAGAAATATTTTCAAAAGTAATCGAAATTTAGCCAGTTTTTATGTAAAGATAAATCGGAACAAAAACACTGTTTAAAATCGGAAAATATTCCACCATAATATACTGGAGTTCCAGATAATATGCTGGAAGTTCATACACAGGTGCTCCAATCTCCAGGATTATATCCTGGAACTTTTTGTGTTGGAGTTCCAGCATAATATGCTGGAAGTTCATACACAGGTGCACCAGGCCAATCTCCAGTATATTATGCTGTAACTTTCCGTATTGCAACAAAATAGTAGATATTTTTCAATGAGTTTGCAAACGCTGGCTATTTTTTAATTATCAGTCCAAAAACTGGCTAGCCCGTGCTATTTTCACTCTTAGGAGAGCAATCTAATTAGCTTCAAAATATGTACGGGGCCACACAAGGGTAACATGATCGTTGGAATACTTGGTAGAAATGACACCAGGTAGCCACTCTAAAGGACTACTATTTAGGAACTAGCCAGTGCATCTTGAATTTTAATTTTTCAATTTAATTTTTGGGGACAAAAATGTCCTGAATTGTCCAGACTAGGTGACAAAACCGCAATCTTAAGAATTTAATACAACTAATCCAATAGATGCATTACATATGTTTGTACATATACTTTTCTCACTTAACCATGATTGATTAATAGATATTCTTACTTTATTAAATCAGTTAACCATGGTCTTGGTACGATTTGATATAAACATCCAGTGCCTCCAAGTCTTTTTTTCCTATCTAATGGAGCTAAATTAAGATAGAATATTCACCAAATCAGTATCTTTTATTCTTGATTTTATTACTGTATATTTTTTATTCTTACAGCTTTAATTTTTGATACGATTCATTTATTTTTACTGATATTGTGGGATTTCTTCCCACACAATTCACTTGTGTTTAAAGAGTACATTACCAAATATCAATGATACACAACGAGCCTTTTTCCTTACTCTGCTCCTTAGTGGTATCAGTGCAACAAACACTCAAACGAGTATAGACTCCAAAATCATCTTCTCCATCTTGTTCACAAAGTATCCTTTTTTTTTTCCCTCCCCTCTAAACCACCAGAAATCAATGGTGACTCCTTTGCTTCAGGCACCAATCCAAACAACAATGATCCAGTCAACCCCTCTTTTCTTTAAAATAATACCTCTCCCGCAGTTGTTGATGTTGTTGCAACCAAAACACATATTATTAACATCAACTCAACTGCACAACTTCCTATCAAACTTGTTGGTGGTGTAAACTTCACAACATGAAAAGCTCAAATTCAAAAGGTCATGAATGGCTTGGACTTGATGGGTTATCTCGATGGATCTATAACACCACCTCCACACACCATTAAGCAAGGAACTCAAGATGTTGTCAATCTAGATTTTAAAATTTGGTTTCAGCAAGATAATCTCATCGACAATACCTTAATGGCATCTGTCGATTCCACTATTGCACCATCTGTTGCCTTCGTTGAAACTTCAAAATAAGCATGGGATTATTTGCATACCACATATGCGAATAGATCTCAAACCAAGATCTATAGCCTCCGATATGCACTAGCCAAAGTTCAGCGAGATCAAAAGTCTGTCACTTCTTATCTCAGAGAAATAAGAACAATCACTAATGAGTTAGCTGCTGCCGGTGCTCGCATTTCTAATGAAGAATTGGTTGTGAAAATACTTAGCGGTCTCGGACCCGAATATGAAGCACTGGGTACTGTTATTCGATTAACGAACTCACCTATTGTATTGGAAAAAGTTTACTCTGCATATTGGAGATGACGTGTCATGACACGTAGACTGGTCAAACAGTCAAAGAATTAAGGTTGTTCAATAGGTACGAGCAACAACAGACACGAGCAAGTTAAACAGAAGAGACACGAGCAGTCATGGGAGACATTCAATGCTCGTACCCGTTCAAGGCATTTAAACCGCAAAGATCGTGAAGAATCAAAGGAATGAATCTGACAGCAAATAAGAGCCCAGATACAGCAATTAATGAGCATTAAATGCGAGAAACGTTAGAGAATATGTATTTAATGTATATGATTACATAACGTAATATTTAAAGTCATTAATTGAGCATAATTGTCTTATTATGACAAAGGTAAAGTCTGTATTCCCAAAATGGCTATAAAAGAGAAAGTCACAAACAATTGTGACGACGGAAAAACACTACTGAAATATACCCTGATTTACTAGCTTTCATATCTTATTCTCAAATTTCTTTCTTTATACTCTTTTCCGATTATCAGTAACCCGTGTTCTTCTAAATTCAAGCTTTGACCTAAAATCTAATTTTTGGTTAAACACCTATATCATATGAAGAATTGGCACACAAGCTCACAGATCATGAACTTTATCTCAAGCAAGCAGAAAAGAAGAAACTAGTAACTCTCATGACTGTTCAAGTTGCACAGCGAACAGCCAAATAATAACAATAGCAACAGGAAAACTTGTACTTGGTCTGGCCAGCCTCAATGGCGTCCGCGAACTACTCCTATTGGACAACAATAATGGCGTTCACAAAACACTCAAAGCAATAGAAACTTTTCCCATCCATGGCATCCCTCCACTCCGTTGCAGGCCAAAATGCCAACTCAATGTCAGTCATGTCAAAAATTTGACCATACTACAAATATTTGCCGTTCAAAATCACATAACCATTTTGAAGCTAAGGCTATGTATGCTTCTCGGAATTCTTCCAATGCTGCTCCTTGGATTCTAAATACTGGTGCATCACATCATATTACTGTTGATCCTCAAAGCATAGCCTCTCTACATAAATACACGGGTTCTGAAGAAGTTTCAATTGGTGATGGTAATGGTATTCCAATCGCCCATACTGGTTCTACTACACTAAACACTCCACTTCGCTCTTTTTTATTACATAACATTTTATGTGCTCCATATATTAAAAAGAATCTTATATCTGTTACAAAATTTTGTCAACAAAAGCAAACATATATTGAATTCTTTCCTTCGTCTTTTGTTATGAAGGCACTGACTACGGGGGTACCGCCATTACAAGGGCAAAATAGAGTTGATCTGTATGAATGACCAAAGTTTACAACTTCAGCACATTCATCTCCAACAGCCTACACGGCAAATACCTCAAAAGTTCCTTTATCTGTGTGGAATCATCATTTAGGACATCCTAATATATGTCTTCTGAAGTTTCTCTTAAACAATCATCAGTTGTCTTATTTGATAATTTTCAATCTTGCAATTCATGCAATTGCAATAAAAGCCACATGATTCCTTTTTCGCAGAACTCTTCGTGCAGTTAAAAGCCCTTTGAAATTCTATACACGGATGTTTGGGGTCCTTCACCCATTCTCACCCTAGATAAAAAGCTTTATTACATTATCTTTGTCGATCAATTTACCAAATACATTTGGCCCTATACAGTTCAACAAAAAAGCGATGTCTACAAGGTCTCTTTTCAGAATTTCGACCATTCATTGAAAACTTTTTCAATACTAAGATCCTCACCCTTTATTCAGATGGAGGAGGAGAATTCAAAGGACTAAAATCACTTCTTGCTGAATTTGGTATTCAACATTCATCCTTTCCCCCATATACCTCTCAAGGAATTGCCTTAGCTGAAAGATGTCATAGGCACATTATTGAAACTGCAAGAACCCTGCTTCACCAAGCACCTCTACTGTCACAATTTTAGAGTTTTGCTTGCCAAAGTACTGTTTATCTAATTAACATATTTCCTACACCATCCATTGGTAATATTTCCCCATATCAAGCTCTCCTCGGTACCTCTCTTAATATTTTCTCAATTTTTACGTTTGGTTGTCTATGCTATCCTTGGCTAAAATCATATACCAAAAATAAACTAGAACCAAGATCTACACCATGTGTCTATTTAGGATTTTCTACCCATTTTCACAGTCATAAGTGCTTTGGTCCAAAATACTCAAAAATATATTTCTCAAGAGATGTCAAGTTCTTGGAAAATATTTTTTCCAAATATAAAGGATCATCTCATAATATCTTCTAGTTTAATTCCGCATCCAATTAAGATACATTATCTTCTTCACAAAATTCTCCAGATCATACCATATCTTCTCTTATTAAATTGTGTATTCCACATCCACACAAAGATCCAAGCTTGCCTCTTTGTACAAACGACTCTACTACTCAGTCAATAGTTGTGTGTCCTCGGTCAGAATGCAATAGTGTCCAACACAATCAGGTAAATTCCTCCCCTGTTGATGCTTCTTCCCCTACTACTCAATGTGCTCCCCATGGTACTTCACATACGCACTCTTCTTCAGATTCCATTCCCCAACAGCATGAGTCAACTGAATTTGACATCTCTTCTAAGACTAATCAGCCTTCACCACCACGTTGCCCTGTCACTCGCTCCCAACATCAAATAATTAAGCCCAACCCAAAGTACGCGTCCATAGCCACCCTTACATTCCAAATACGACCAGTTATAGTCAAACGAGCATCCAAAGACCCC